CGTTTTGAGCGCTCTGGCCGTTGGTGGGGGGGGGGGGGGGTCGCGTCATCCCCCCCCCCCCCTCCTTCCCATTGTCTCTGTGCCTGCGTTCCTCGCCGGTGACTCACCGATAATCCCCTTGGCCCCTCCCACTTAAGTCAACTTCTTATCTGCCTCGGGGCTTTTCCCTCCCACCCCACTGTTTACCCTTACGCTGGGTACTGGCTGAAGGTCCCACCCCCCCCACCCCCCCCGTGTTGTGAATGCTTCAATGCGGCCGGCCTGTAAAGCTCTACGCCCCCCTTTTTGGGGGGGCCGCCATGTAATCCAGTCTGGGGGGCTCAGCCAATTTCCTGGTCCGGGGAAACCGTGGAACGTCCCTGCTAGTGGAGTCCTCGAGTGAAAATCCATCCTACCTGGTGATCCTTCCTTGAGACCCTATGGGGGTGCATGCGAGTGTTTAGTGGGGCATGCGTTCGTGGGGGGGGGGGGGGGCACATGGAGGGGGTAACGGCGACCGAGCTGCTCCGCTGCGGTGGCACCACACAATCTACCAACCCTCGAGGACCTGCACACCTCGAGGAGCATGAGGCGAGCGAGGAAGATTTGTGGCCGATTCCTCCCACCCTGGACACTCTCTGTTCCAGCTACTCCCCCCCGGCAGAAGGCTGCGGTCCATCAGGACCAAAACCTCACGCCACAAAAACAGTTTCTTCCCATCCGCTGCTGGCCTCTTCAACAATGCCAAGGGCTTACACTGACTTGAACATTTTATCTAAAAAATGACACCTTGCCATACTTACACTATGTTACCATATTTGTATTTTTTTTATTTTTAGATTGTATCTTACAGCTACTTTATATTAAATATTTATTCAATATTTTACATACTTTTAGCCCCTTAGTGTTAGTTTGACTTTTTACCTTTAGTATAGTTAGACTTGTATACCACTTATTTAAGATTTAAGATTCCTATATGTTGAATGTAAATTCTTCGTGCGAACTTTCATGGCGAATGAAATCCTTTCTGATTAAAACCCTTTCTGATTAAAGTCATGTAAATAGAAACCAAAAATAAAGAAAAAATGTGGTTAATTTTATTATTTAAATTGCCATTTCATTTCATTATTTTCTTTTGAGTAACATGTTTTTTAATTTACCAGACTTTTCTGAAAGAAGCAAGAATATTAATTCCTGCAGTCACGAAAGTTTTAAGTAAAAAAAGAATGCGCCACCACTTGGCTCGCCTCAATCTGCGTGGAGGCTTGGCCCCCCCTCACACAAAGTGTACACACACAGTGTACACACACAGTGTACACATACACAGTGTGCACACACACAGTGTGCACACACACAGTGTACACACACACAGTGTACACACACACACACAGTGTACACACACACACAGTGTGCACACACACACAGTGTGCACACACACACAGTGTACACACACAGTGTACACACACACAGTGTGCACACATACACAGTGTACACACAGACACAGTGTACACACACACTGTACACACACACAGTGTACAAACACACAGCGTGTACACTCAGTGTACACACACACACAGTGTACACACACACAGTATACACACACAGTGTACAAACACACACACAGTGTGTACACAATAATGTCCACGTTGTTGCTGAGCTCACACACCCAAGGGGCCTCTGATCAAGTGAGGGAGCAATGGAAAATGAATCTAAACTTAAACTCCAACCCCGATCTGTGACGTCACCACTCAGCATTACCTCATCGGCGTGAAACGCCTGGGAGAGGTGTACCTCGCTAGTGACGTCATGTCACCAAGGTATTCACCCCACCCTGTCCAAGGCTCCCTTGAGCGTGACGTCATCTCTGCCTGGGTCGCTGCTGTTTTCTGTTCAAGTGACGTCATGTCACCTCTTGCTGCCGCGTGACGTCACGAGATAACAGGAAGCTGCTGCTCCGCCGTGCACTGAAATCTGAGGTGAGAAATTATCATCGCGGTTGTTGTGGTGGTGCTTGTGGTGGTGGTTGTGGTGGTGGTTGTGGATGTGGTGGTGGTTGTGGTGGTGGTGGGTGGGTGGTTGTAGTGGTGGTTGTGGTAGTGGTTGTGGTAGTGGTTTTGTGGTGGTTGTTGTGGTGGTTGTTGTGGTGGTGGGTGTGGTGGTTGTAGTGGTGGTGGTTGTGGTGGTGGTTGTTGTTTACCGGGGTAGAGTATCGCTCTCTCTCTCGTAGGGATGTCAATTGAGTAGCAGCGAGCATGGAAGCGATGTCCAGGTTGGAACTTTACAGCACGGGGCCTAGCCACGCGGGGCCTTGCCTCCTGCCCTCGCCTGATCGCATTTGCTTCAATTCTCTCACTTAAGTTTAATTTGTCTTCACTCGGCTCGCCACTTTGTCACTTTGTTTTACTTTTAAATATTCACGCAGTTTTTATTTCATTATTTTTTACCAGGCCAAGCCCGCTTGAGCTGCTGTACCGCTTTTGTTTTCAGAAACGACCTGCCCACAACACAAGGTGAGGCTCGTCAACAGCGTGGCGGTGTTCACTCTAGACGCGTGGCGGTGGTCACTCTGAACTTGTGGTGGTGTTCATCTCTAGACGCGTGGCGGTGTTTACTCTGGGCGTGCGGCGGTGTTCACTCTATACGCGTGGTGGTGTTCACTCTGGGTGCCTTGTGGTGTTCACTCTGGACGCGTGGCGGTGTTCACTCTGGGCTCGTGGCGGTGTTCACTCTGGGCTCGTGGCGGTGTTCACTCTGGACGCGTGACGGTGTTCACTCTAGACGCGTGACGGTGTTCACCCTAGATGTGTGGCGGTGTTCACTCTGGGCGCGTGGCGGTGTTCACTCTGGGCGCGTGGCGGTGTTCACTCCGGGCGCGTGGCGGTGTTCACTCTGGGCACGTGGCGGTGTTCACTCTACTTGGTGGAGTGAGGAAGCATGAATTCTGAGCAGGTGAAGGTGGCCAGGCGTGGGTCTGGACACACCACCACCTGTGAACCATGCCAGTGCGTGACAGTGGTGGAGCCAGTGGGGGTGGGGTGGCACATGCCCCCCCAACGGTCCGATCGAAAACCCTAATTTCGAACGGATCATTGGGGTTTAATAGTAACTAGCTTCACTACCCGGCTTCGCCCGGGAATTGGATTCTTGTCTTGGATAAATTTCATATTCCCTCATTTTTCACTGAAAAACCCTTAAAAATGTTGATGCTTGCAAGAAAGAAAAAAGCTGAAACAAAGCAAGTTACCTAATTCGGATGTTTCACTCAAGGAAATTCAACCTTTTCCCACTTCTACGCAAGTTCGATTTTGGCCACTCCAGAAGGGAATGACGTGGCGAGCTTAAAATAGTCGGGTTCACTTAGAAATTCCAGACAGCATAAGCTGTGAAAATTTCATGACGCCAGAGCTCAGCGTTGGAGAGGTTTTGCTGCTTCACGCAAACGAACAGATGTAATGTTCTGCTTCATATTTAATATAGCTGTTGTACCCGTTCTTCGCGCGGATATGTATTGAAACTCCGAGAAACCAATGGCTTCATCGGCCAGGAGCAAAGCGCCACCTAAAATCTCCCGGCACGCTGTTAACAGCTCTAAGCATTGCAGAGCGCTTAACTCAGGTGTGTTGCGGGTTAACGCCACAAACTTCATGGTCATACAAAATACAAAAGTACATTTTTTATACTTTTTTTCATTGTGTACAGTATGGAACCTACCCACATGCCAAATTTCAAGTGTGTAGCATGTTGGGAAGTATGCTAAACATTTCAAACAGACACACATATCCACACATTTCCCTTTTATATATATAGATAAATCAGCATTTTGCGACCCCCACTGCCACCGTGTGGCATATTATTACGTGCCAGGGACTCTATGAGACGACAACAGTCCGAGTCCATAATTGGCAATAAGTAACGGCAAAGCAGTTACAAGGGACTCACAGAATTGTGCGCAGTTGCGTATACAGTACACGACTTCCCTGATGGCAAACACCTTCAGCGAGCGCGATGCCGATCACACGCGTCGAATAAAAAGCAAGGGACAAGTCCATACTTACTAACAACTCCTTAATAACAATGCCTTACTTACTAACAACTCCTTATGAACAACTCCTTACTAACAACGCCTTACTAACAACTCCTTACTTACAACTCCTTACTTAATAACAACTCCTTACTAATAACTCCTTACTAACAACACCTTACTAACAACTCCTTACTAGCAACTCACTAACAACTCCTTACTTACTAACAACTCCTTACTAACAACTCCTTACTTACTTACAACTATCATTTTGCTGGAGGGGTTGCCCCCCCCCCTACCTGAAAATCCTGGCTCCACCTCTTGAGTGTGTGACAGGGTTAAGTTTGTATTAGCAGTAAAGTCTATTAACTATATTGAGCACGGATGTTATATCAAAACAGTAGTTTATTTGAGTTTTTCTCTGCAACTCTTTGCAAGAATGGAGTCAGGAAGTTATCACAGCACATGTGCAGCTGAAGTCGGAACTGTTCATCCCAGCATTCAAGGACATCTGTGCCTGGCTTCACACCTCTAAGTTGCGATTGAACATTAATTTATGCATTTCTGCATAATACAAATAGTATTATTTTCCACACCCTTTGCTATGTCAGCTGAATTTAGCTTTAATAAATATTCCTTTTGAAGCCAGACAGCCGAAATTGTGTGCTCGGAGTTTTGGGTGAACATTCATTTTGAAGATACTAGGGCTTCCAGGCATGTTTATGAACATTTGCCCTCTCATTGTGTGCCATAACAGACCATGTGATAAATTTGGGACACTTTTTCACTATATCATGAATATATTAATAAGTATAGACATGTAAGTCATGTGTTACTGTGTGTATGCATTCCTCTGTGCATCGATACTGACGTGTAGATGGTGTGGATATAATTTTTTCAGTCTGCAGCTGTCACTTCCTCTGCAGAATTTGTCTGATGGAGCAAAGGCACTCGGCGCGGCTCGGTGCAAAAAGGCAACAATGCGACGGCGTGCATACAGCACGGATCGTCCTGCACATTTGACACGGCACCATAGAACTTACACAGGAGAGAAACCTTTCAAGTGCGGTGTGTGTGGGAAGGCGTTTGCACATTCATCTACTCTTGTAACACATCAGAGAACACACACAGGAGAGAAACCCTTCAAGTGCAGTGTGTGTGGGAAGGCGTTTGCACATTCATCTGGTCTTGTAAAACACCAGAGAACACACACGGGAGATAAACCCTTCAAGTGCAGTGTGTGTGGGAAGGCGTTTGCACATTCATCTACTCTTTTAAAACACCAGAGAACACACACGGGAGATAAACCCTTCAAGTGCAGTGTGTGTGGGAAGGCGTTTGCACAGTTATCTACTCTTGTAACACATCAGAGAACACACACAGGAGAGAAACCCTTCAAGTGCAGTGTGTGTGGGAAGGCGTTTGCACGTTCAACACATCTTCAAGCACACCAGAGAACACACACAGGAGAGAAACCCTTCAAGTGCAGTGTGTGTGAGAAGGCATTTGCACAGTTATCTACTCTTGTAACACATCAGAGAACACACACAGGAGAGAAACCCTTCAAGTGCAGTGTGTGTGGGAAGGCGTTTTCAGTTTCATCTACTCTTGTAAAACACCAGAGAACACACATGGGAGATAAACCCTTCAAGTGCAGTGTGTGTGGGAAGGCGTTTACACGTTCATCTACTCTTGTAAAACACCAGAGAACACACACGGGAGATAAACCCTGCAGGTGCAGTGTGTGTGGGAAGGCATTTGCACATTCAGCACATCTTCAAATACACCAGAGAACACACACAGGAGAGAAACCCTTCAAGTGCAGTGTGTGTGGGAAGGCGTTTGCACGTTCATCTACTCTTGTAGAACACCAGAGAACACACATGGGAGAGAAACTCTTCAAGTGCAGTGTATGTGGGATTGCCTTTGCAAAGTCATCTAATCTTCATGTACACCAGAGAACACACAAGCATCAGAAGATCCACAAGGAGTGGAGTCTGAAATCAGCTTGTGGAAGTCATAGTTCCGCAATGTGCCCATCCTTCCTGCAACAAGAACCGGAAGAAAATCCCAGCTTGGACACTTTTAAAGGAATCGAGGTGAAATATGAAGAGGTTAAGGTGAAATGTGAAGAAGTGATGGTGAAGAGTGAAGAAGTGAAGGTCAAATGTGAAGATGAAGATTCAACTCCAAAATGGGACCTTCACATCGATGGAGGCAACGTGAAGCAAGAGGAGAATTCTGACTGTGAGGCAGAGCGAGGCAACTCCCAGCAGTTTGTGGAAGTGGAGGTGTGGGTGGACTTCCTCCGAGACAATACAAAGTCAAATGAAGACCCAGTAGATGTGTGAGGCAGAGACGATGTCGCTCCAATAGATGCACCTTTGTCACAGGCCTTTAATGACAAGAATGAAGTTGAACACAATTCCTAAGTGCAACCTGCAGGGTAAGAGCGGCCAGTCTTTGTGGACCTGTGGGTTGCGTAGATCTCTAACCAGGAGCGAAAACCAATAAGCTCCCAAGCATTCACTAGGTTATCAATTGCATTTATATGGTGCTTGCTTAATCGCCTCTGGCAATAAGGAGTTTTGTGTCGTATCTCGTTTCAAACACTCGAAGAGCACCCCCAAGTAGCAGCTGCCCCTGTGTGGCACAAGGTGATGCCCCTGCACTGGCCTGCATGTGGACAAGAGCCTGTCAGTAGGGGGCGATGGTTGATGTGGCATCTCAGTTGTGGAGTTTGTAGGTAATGTTTAGAATTTGATAAATTTTGACCCAGATGCCAGCATGCAATGGCCTACTCGTTTTGAATGGCGCAATAGTATGTTGAACATACACTGTTAAGCATATTTTTAAAAATAGCATCTTGTTAGTACGATGTAATCTGATGCAGTATATTTCACTGCAGTAATTCAATTTTGTTAAAATGACTCTAATTTAGAATTAATACTTGTCTGATTGTGTGCGTACATGTAATATTTTGTCTATAAGGGTCAAACATTGAATAAGTGATGTTAGGACAAAGTGTGTGTTTTGTAAGTAACCTTTACAGATAACTCAGGTTAGACTCATTGTTCTTGTGATACAGGTCAAAGGGTATTTTCACGTTTTCAGGTAGCATCTCCCTCTGGAGCAACTCATTCTGTTTGAAATAGAGAGCACACTCGGATCATTCATCAGTTACAAGGCATACCACTCAAAAGTTACACGTAGAGGAGGTACATTCTCTACAACACGAATTTTGTATTACGTGTTGACGTAGATTTTGTCGAATTAGGACGAGAAATGGTCCTTGCTGATTAACGTCTGGATGTTCACAACCAAGGGTTGAAGCAAGCCAGACCACCTGTGGCGCCCCTCACAACCATTTACGGCCTTGGGCCAGGAAAGTCACGAAAAAAATTGCACACGAATGACGCATTCACGCAAGCTCCCGATGCTCCGTTTTGAAGTTTGAAAATGAAACAACTTTGAATTGTATTATGTTTTGAATGAGATAATTGTATTTCTTCTTTAAAAGCTTATTCATTGAAAACGATATTTAGTGTGAATTTTATCTTGTCGTTAAGTAGATGGCCTTGCCGGGGATTCGGTTCGATGTGGACTTTCACCTGGTTCGGATCGCGGGATAGAGATGAGGCGACACAGAGCTGGCCGTGCGAGAAGACCGCCGTCTGCAGATCGATTTCAACGCGATTGAACGTCTGTCTCTGTGCCTCCATCGTTTATGCAGGGGGTGTGTAGGTTTGCACCGCCCCCTGCATGAAAACGACGGAAAGTGCAGCGTTCGTCACAGATGAAGTTGTGCGCTTATATAAGAGTACTAGCGGTAAGCACCCAGCGTTACCTGGGCAAAAAAGACATACACACACATTGACCTACACACACAGACATCCACTTTAGACACACACACATGGAGTTACACACAAATCGACATACAGCAACTCACACACATACATAGACTCTCACACATGGACCTAAGCACACAGATTTACACACATATCGACTAAGAGACACACACATGGACTTACACACAACATGGACCCACGCACACAAATTGACGTACACACACACACGGACTCACACATACCGGGGTTTTGGGGCACCCGAAGGGCTGGGGTCTCTCTCGCCAGGGCCGCCCTCCATGGTTTAAATCTGCGGACGTTGACCACTGTCTCACGGCCCCTCTCCCCACCCTGGATCAGCACCGTCCAGGGGAGGATCTGCCGCACCATGGTCCAGGATCCACGCCAGTAGGTGGTCAGCTTCCCCACCTGTCCAGCCCCTACGCGCGGGGTGTGCAGCCGCACCTTAGAGCCCGCTGAGTAGAAGGGGGGCTCCACACGGGGCCGGGCGCCCTGCTCTTGCCGCTGATGTGCAGCCTCCGCCTGTTGGTAGGCCCGGCCACGGGCCCCTCCCAGGATCCCCATCAGGTGCTCCACGGGCTGGCTCCCTCCGGTTGCGGCGGGGGAACGCCGAACAACAGATCTGCTGGTAGGCGAGACTTACGACCAAACATCATTAGGAACGGGGTCTGTCCCATAGATGTGTGTACCGTGGTGGCGTAGGCGAAAGGGGCATAGGGGAGGTGTTCGTCCCAATCCCGTTGATTGGCGGCTGCCATACGTTTGAGCTTCCCGTCTAAGGTCTGGTTTGTACGCTCCACCATCCCATTCGCCTGGGGGTGGTATGCCGTAGTTTGGTCCTTCTGGATTCCGAACTCCCGGCACAGCGCCTGAAATAGCTCTGCCTCGAACTCACTACCCTGGTCAGTAATGACTCGTTCAGGGATCCAATGTTTAAGTACGTATTGTTCCACAAATGCTCTGGTGACCACAAGGGCCGTTTTATCTGGGATGACCACCGCCACTGCATAGCACGTGAAATACTCCACCGCCACGAGGATATACCAGTTGCCTCGGTGTAATCGTGGGAATGGCCCCTGTAGGTCGATCCCAACTAGCTGGTTCACCCGTCTGACACGGATCGGACTCAGGGACACCTGATACTGCACCGGTTTCTGCCCACACTGCTGACAAGCGCGGCAGCCCTGTACCCAGGTGGCCACATCTTGTGCCAGTTTGGGCTAGAGATACTGGCGACGCAGGGTCTCCCGAGTGCGCCGTTCCCCATCATGGCCCCCTAGCGGGTGATCATGCACCAACCGTAGCAGCTGGGGCCGCACCTGGGCAGGAACACAGATGCACCCCAGCTGCCCGGCTTCGGTTAGTTCCCGCACCACTCCGTTCTCTACACGCAACCGGGCATACAAACCACTCCAGGGTCCCTGCAGGGCGACCTTTTCCTCCCGCAGGGCTGCCTCCACCGCCGCCAGGTCCGGGTCCCGCCGCTGGGCCTGTCTCAGCTGCTCGTGATCCAGGCCCGGGAACGCACAGCCGACGTCCTCTTGGATCTGACCGGGTGAGGCTGAGTGGCCCGTCGGGCCCCGGGATGTGGGCCCCGTGCCCGCCGGGCGGTCCACTGGGTCCCTGGCTCCTTCTGCAGGGACCTCCGTGGCACACACGGCACTTTCTCTCAGCGGAGGGGGGTTAGTCTCAGGGCGCTCCAGGGGGGCCGTTGCCTGTCGGCAGCGTCCCCCCGTGAAGTACGGGCAGGCCTCCTCCACCCTCGTCTCGGCGCACACCGCGGGTCGCCTTGACAAGGCGTCCGCGTTTGCGTGCGTCCGCCCTGCCCTGTACTCGATCTGCAGGTTATACTCCTGCAGCTGCATCAGCCACCGGGCCATCTGCCCCCCACGGTTCCTTGAATGTGAGGAGGAACTGCAGAGCATAATGGTCAGTTCGCACGCGACATTTCCTGCCGTACAGATACGGCCGGAACTGTTTACACGTGAAAATCACGGCATACAGTTCCTGACGGGTCACGCAATAATTCAGCTCGGCCCCGCTCAGGGTCCGGCTGGCGTATGCGATGACCCGCTCTATCCCATCCTGAACCTGTGACAACACCGCGCCCAGCCCACTGCTGCAGGCGTCGGTGTCCAAAATAAAATCGGTGGAAAAGTCAGGGAAAGCCAGGGTGGGGGGTATGGGCGAGGTGGTCCTCCGTCCACTGATAGGGGTTCTTAAGGGAACTGAGTTTGGTGAGGGGGCGTGCAATCTCGCCGAATCCCTTCACAAATCGACGACAATAAGTGGCTAGCCCCAAAAACGACCTGATCTCCGTCAGGTTCCTCAGTCTTGGCCATTCCACTACGGCGCGTACCTTCTCCGGGTCGGTGCGCACCCCTGCCTCGCTGACGCGGTGTCTTAGGTACCCAACCTCGCGCTGCGCAATATGACACTTACGCGGCTTGAGCTTGAGATGGGCTTCTCGCAGTCGTTCGAACTGTGGTGCCACGACAGCGAAGACGCTCCGTGGGAGCCGTGCCTGCAACGGGGGTGCTGCGGCAGAGAAGCCACCAGGCTGCCGTCGCAGCGCTTCCCCCACCACCCTCCACGTGAACGCACACACGCACTCACGTAGGGTCTCGTGGGGGGGTCACCTGCCCCTGAGTTTTCACCCGCAGCTCGGGGTTAGCGTGGACGAGAGGGGCACCGCGGCGTATTCGCAAGATGGTTAGTACAGCCATTTAAATCATGCCACGAGGGGCAGCAGCGAGGGGGGGAGAAGAGACGAGTGGGGGGTCACGGGAGAATGGGGAGACGGGGGGCAGCCACCCCAACAATTCATATTCTTGGTTCTTTCGGTAAAGTCACCACGTAGAAGGGAAACAAAATGAAAACCGCGACTTTTTTCAAATTTTCTTGCTGTGGTTTTCACACCTGATGATGATTGCTTGTGTTGCAGTCGAAACGCCATGAGAATTTTATTGTTTTATATTTTTATTATTTTATTTTTTCCCTATCTTCGTGGTGACTTTACCGAAAGAACCAAAAATACAGTTGAGATGGTTGTGGACTTCAGGAAGAATACAGCCCCACTCACCCCCATTACCCT